TCCACTATAATGGCATAACCACTATATATTGCCCTATATAGCGATTAGGGCGGACGTGCGGACACAGCCACTGACTAGATGCTGGCTCCCTTTGCTTTCCTGATTTCTGTCGCACTCATGATATCCTGAACACTAACCAGCTTTTTTGCCAAATGAGCAAGGCGTTGGTCAAACTTATGTTTAAAAAATCTGTGATAACCTGCTTATTTCAGGGGTAAAGCAGCTTAAGAGATATGCTGCCATACAGTACCCTGACCAACTTCAATAGGCAATTGTTGTGAAGTTTCTTTTTTTATATATTTTATTTTTATTTTGGTAAAGTATCCTGCCATCACAGGCAGATGAAGCAGGGATTCAAACTGGCAGGCCATCCTCCTGTAGAGACAAATGCTAGTGATAAATCCGCAACAAGTTGAGTATTTTCTGAAACACGACTAAAACTTCCCCTATTGCTATTTTTAGTGCATACATTTTAAGAGATGGGGATGAGGGCTCAATCGAGGTACTTCAAATTAGTAATGATGCGTCAGCCATGACGGATGTCACCAGAATAGGTGCTATCTGAATAGTTCTGGCAGTGAATATGGAGCTAGAACCAGAAGGCTGCATGCTTCCTAATACCAATAAAGTTAGAATAGGGACCTCCTGACTTGTTTAGATGCTGCTGGGATCTCCATAGAGACAGCCCACCTCACAGTGTTCCTCAAAAATATATTTCATGACATTGCATTTCCTACCATGAATAGAGTTCCAACTGTTACAAACCTAGAAGTTACAACTGGTTAAACTCGGGACACATGAAAAGTGGGATGTATTCTCATCGAACGAGGGAGCTGGAGGTGGACAGCCACCAAGTTCACCTTGTTAGTGATGAGAAATAAAACGAGGTGCCAACTTCTTTCTATTGCACTCTCAAAGGCAGGTCTTTGGTGGAGAGCAAAACTTTCTGGCCTGCCAGGTATTCGGGTGCTGGAAATCTTTGGCAGTTAGCAGCTTTGGCTTGACTAACCAATGAATTGCCAATAGCTTTTTTAGCCCTTCCCTAGGCTCACTGGCACTTAAAAGCAGATAATCCGGCCGATGGAAGTATAGAATTCCTTTCCTGAAACTGCAGTATCTATACTTCTACGTAAGTAACAAATGTATGTACTTTTGACACCACTGGTGTTGAAAGCTGTCTTCCACTCATCACCCTCACGGATACGTACAAAATGGTACACATTGCAGAGGTCCAGTATTGTGAAGACCTTAGGTCCCAGAATCTGTCAAAGGCAGAGTTGATTAGAGGAATAAGATAACAATTCTTAACTGTAATATCATTGAAACTTCAATAGTCTATGAGAGAACCGTCCTTCGTTCCTACAAAGAAGAAGCATGCATCAGCAGGAGAGGAAGAAGGACGAATAATGCCTGCTTTCAAAGAATCTGAAATATATTTTTCCATGGCTTGTGATTCAGGTGCTGATAAGGAATACAACCTTCCCCTAGGGGCATTAGTGCCCACAATCATAAAGTCTCTTCGGAGGTAAAGTAGTGGCTCTACTCTTATTGAAGAACACCATAAGGTTATAAAACTCTTCAGGGACCTTTGACAGGTCTGGATCAAAGTCATTGTCCTCCTTCTTGGCCAACAATTCTGATTTAGCAGAAAATAGACAAGAACCCAAACACGAGGTAGGTCAGCTCAAAACCTCCACTTTCTGCCAGTCAATGTGCGGTTAAGTTTTAGTAACCAAGTTAAGCCTAGAATAATAGGTATCTGAGGTGAATTAAAAATAAAAAAGATACACACTGAACATAGTTACTACCCATCACAAGTTCAACTGGTTCTGAGTGAGACCCGATTCATCTGATGGACATCCAAGGCTATTACCTTTTTGGAATCAGGCAAAGAAAGAAGCTTTATACATTGTCATCTGGCAAAGTCCCCCATCCATGAACTCAGCTCTGGAGTCCCCGAATGCTGATAGGTTATGACTGCTGGAATGGACTGATAAAGTTCCAGGAACCAGAAGATCTGAGGAGAGGAAAAGTCTGGCTTGACTCAGCAGCATTCCCCCCCAGCTCCTCAATCCATGTCCTCTCTGGAAAGACGGGTGCGTCCCAGTTTTATCGCTTCAGGACCAGGAGTTTAAAGTGAAAAAGACATTGCAACAGGTGCCACAGGATCAGGAGGAGGAGCGGGGAGAGGATTCACAGATGTTTGAGCTCTCCACTCTCCACGTTGTTCGAGGAGAGGAAGATCGATTGAGTAGCATGATCTGATCCTCTAGCTGCTTCAGAGTCTGAGGGTAGTCAAAGGCGGAGAATTAATCTTTTATCCTTTTGTTCAGTCCAGGGGTAAACACATCCATGAAAGCTTCCTACCGAAGGAAAATCCAGATTGAAGTCAGCAAGCAGGTCCAGGTTCAGTCTACAGGTAGAATCCGAAGACAAGGCAAGCAAACAGATCAGAACGGGTCAGGATCAGGCAATCAGAACACAAACAGATAGACTACAGAAGTCTCACCGAAGGCTCGAATAATCTGGCACTGATGACTCTGAGCAAGCAGGTCAAATAGAGACTAGAGCAGGTGACACAGATGAGCAGTGATGAGAAACTGGGCGAAGATAGACAGGTGAATGGAATGAACCATTAAGCCATTCATCACTGCCAAGAGCATGAAAGTTTTTTCTTTTGTTTGAACAGATTTAATTGAATACAATTTTATAATGATTAACTTCATGTCTAAAGACAATAACATCAACAATCAACACTTGTCTGTTGCTGTCTGGCCCTCAGGGTTTCCCCACTCTTCGCACACACATCGCAGACAGGTTGGACAGGAAATTGCTCAAAGCACATCCATGCATCCTTCTCTTAACTTTTAAGAGAGCCCTAGTCCAATTCCGGCCTTATATAGATGCTGTGGAACTATGGAGGTGAATCAGTCTCAATTTTCACAAATACACATATGGTAAATGGCATGTACTTATATAGCGCCTTTATTCAAGTTAGGAGACTTGACCAAAGCGCTTTATACTACATTCATTCACCCATTCACACACACACTCACACACTGATGGTGGCAAGCTACATTGTAGCCACAGCTGCCCTGGGGCTCACTGACAGAAGCGAGGCTGCCGTACACTGGCACCACCGGGCCCTCTGACCACCATCAGTAGGCAATGCAGGTGAAGTGTCTTGCCCAAGGACACAACGACAATGAAAGTCGGAGTCATGGCTTGAACCGTCAACCCTTCGATTACAGGGCAAACTCCTCCATCCAACGCCACTGTCGTCCTATATGTGTTCATCAATGCAGTCTACAAGCTCCACACACGCACAGCATGATTCACGCAAGCACAAAGAAATCCACACACACACAGTACAAGATCCACACACACACAGCACGATTCATGAAAGCATACAAGATTTACCCATGCACAGCACGTGATTCGCCAAAGTATTTCTGGTCCATAAACAATTATTAATTAAATTATAAATTACTAGTGGTCTTTAAACTTCGCTGCATTTGTGTGAGGATTTTTGAGACTCTTCTGACATTTTTTAAACAGGGAATGGTTTACAACCAATCTCAGAGCTCCCCTGTATTAGAGTCCTGCAATGGGTCGGGTACCCGCGGGTCCCCGACGGGTCACCCACTAAATTGCTCTTTTGCGCGTGAAAAATACATAAATAAAAATAAACGGGTCAGGGGTCGGGCGGATATTTTTTTAGTGCGGGCGGGTAGTTGGTGATTTTTTTTTATGCGTGTGTTGTTATGGACGTCAGAAATGTTATATTAATGAGGCACTGGGGTCACCCTTATTGTAGCTTAAAGCCCTGCCGGCAGTGTGGGCTTCCCTCCAAAAAGGCCACAGTCAGTGCATACACGTCTGCTGCAGTGCTAATGGCGCTGTTCTGCAGCGCAGCGTACTATAGCCTATTACTTGATGTGTTAACGGGTCGGGTTGCGGGTTGTGTTTTACTCACCCAGTTTTCATTTATTCAGAAACTAGAAGGTGTTAGCTTTCAAATAATGTATCACACATGTAATTTGGGCTCACAGTACCTAAGTTACTTGCTTTTCCATTTGGGTATGCACAATTAGGGAGAATTTTCCAAAATGAGGTGGATGTTAACAGTTTTTTTTATTTTTTTATTGGAACTCCTACTGCATTAATATTTTTTCTCCCGCAAAGAAAGTACTGTTGAATCAGTTTCTCTATGCTCTCTCTGTCCCTGCTCTGTCCCTCAGTTGATCCTGGTTCTGCTGGAGGTTTCTTCCAGGGCAGTTATCTCTGGCTGTCTCTGCATCCTCATCCAGAACAAGTGAATGAAAATCATTAGATAAAATCTGTCTGTATCATTTAATATGTCATCCCCTAGAATGACAAGACATCATATAAATAAATATAATTACCGGTATATAGAGAGAATAATTGCATTGATCCCCTCATTCCTGCCCTGTGATACCAGTCCAAATACTTACAAACCAAATTATTTGATTTGGCATCAATGGTCTGCATGTGGGCCAATTTATATTAAAATAAAACTAATTTTCTCTTTCTGATTATAAAATAATTTTATTATTATTTTTTTTAAGAAGAAACGGAAATGTGCTTTGTAGGAATGCAGTTTTCTGCTCCAGTAAAACAATAACAGAGATGAGAAGTGATGCTATCTTGGACAGAGCTCAGCACGCCTCACAGCTAATGTAAAAGTCAAAAACATGTAAACATTGGGGTTTTTTTTCCTTTTCACGGTAATCTCAACTTTTTGTCTCCGCGATTTCTGTACTTAATTTTTTTCTTTAAAGATTCACAGTCATGTAAAACACAGAATCTGTTTCATCTTTTAAACCTCAAACAAGCTCTTTACCCCAAACAAACAGAAATCTTTTCCCATCTTTTTGTCCAATAAACTCAACTATTTTCTAAGCTCTTTATTTCAGCCTGGGGTTGTTATTTTTCCACACAGGCCGCAGCAACGACCCCCCAAGATCCCTGTTGCAACTTGTAGAGTGAAGCTATGAGTCACACAAAGCCAATACAAAAACTCTACAGGCGTATGTGAGACCCAGGAGCTGCAGAACGCTTCCACGGAGCACCTGGACTTCCAGGCTTCATTCCCTGCTGCTGCTTGGAGGAGAGGAGGAAGAATTGATCAAAAAGGTAAACTCAAACTTTTAAATTCAGTAAGACTTTCTTATGTTCTTTAAAACACACTTTCACAGTGAAAAGCAGTTTAACTAGAGCAACTTCTGATTTAGACATCACTGAGCAGTAAGTAATATACAAATCAGAAAAGATTGTCTGAAGCAAAAGGCATTTTTTTAACATTAGCAAACAACTAAAAGTTAAAGTGGGGATTTTAAAATGAGGTTTAAGAAGAAAACAGCAACTGAATGAAAAGTTCTGTAATGTGAAACTGAAGGCCTATAAATTAGAGTATGGTAAATGATGCAAGAATAGTAACGTATTAAAAGTGGTCCAGAAATAATCAACTTTCATAATCAAAATTTTTTCTTTACCAGAAAAATACAAAAGTAAAGTTCCATATGGCAAGATGTAGGTGATGCATTTGCAGATAACAGAAACTAATCCAGTCAGTACTTTAGAAAAAGTGAACATAAATTCTTATAATTAACAATTTTTCTTGTTTTGTTTTCAGGTATGCATTTTGTAAATTAAAAGTTATTCGGTTATATTCCCAAATAGCTGTGGAAGATTTACATTACCAGCAATCAATGCCAGAAATGCATCACTAATTATTCTATTCACCTTCAGCAGATCCAGAGAAAACAAAAAAAAAGAAAAAATGCATTAAGCTGGATGCAAAGCAAAAGAAAATAGAAACTGTGTTTAAGCTCCAGTTATGACAAAGCAGATATTTAATGATAAAACGATCTCATTAACCTTAACACCTGCTATGTTTTTCTCTATGTTTTTGTTATTGATGTTAACACTTGATTACATACAAAAATGTATACTGGTTGTTAATATTAGATCATTCCTTATCTATCAGGATTTATTTTTACAATAACAATGAAAAACAAAACCACCAGACAATACCAGTCAGATATCGGAAAGACTTGAGCAATTCTTGATATTCCAGAATCTCTGAGATGAAAGCTTAATATTTAATCTGCCTTTAATGCAGGTTGAAAAGCCGCCTTTTCTGATCCAGCTTTGGCTTCAAATCCACAAGTTTGGGATCTTCATAAAATAGATTAAATGGTGATAATTTATTGGTGAAATTATAAAGTCTGTACTTAGAAATAACAGCCTTTTGAAGACTGTTGATCCTATTGATGCATGCTATTTGGTTAATTAGTAACGTAGAGATACTCAAATGTGGTATCATGAGCATTTTTCTCTGTAATTTTGTGGACCTAAAAGGTTTCAGTGCAAAAAGCTTCAGAACTAATTTTTAATTGTGTTTTTTTTAAGTTATAGTAAATAACATTTTGAGTGAGTAGTGTGTAATTTTCACATCAGAAGATCCAAACTATAACTGGTTTAAAAACCTGTCAGGATTGGTGGAAAGTTGTCAGCATAGTAACTTTCAATTTAACTAAAATATCAAATGTACTTCATTATTTCTTTCCCATTTTAAAATGAGGATTAAGGCTTTTTTAACATAAAAAAAACTGAATTGAACACCTGGTTTAAGAAAGTTTTATTGTTGATTGTCATGTATAACTAGGGTAGAGACTTGATCTTTCCTTTTGACACGACTGTAACCTCACACCTGCTCTGGCTCAGCTGCTTTATGAAAGATTCCTTTATATAGTTCACAAAAAGACCACAATTATCGGCTGCACCTGTCTGTGAGGCTTCAGGTTAAAGATTGATGTCTGGAATGATGCACTGAAGGAAAAAAGCAAGAGAAATATGACCTGAGAAATCTATGACTGAGTTCTGCCTCAGGTGGTAATAAAACCTGAGCTTATTGTAATGAAAATCTTCCGTTCTTACAATCCAGAAAGCTCCATAACTTTAAATGATGGGTTATTATATTTTGTTTTTGACAGCTGCTGGATGGACCAAGCGACAACAGTCAAGGTGATCAGCTCAGGTGGGGGGGCTGCAGCGAGTAGCACAGGTGAGATGCTTTTTTAAATCATCCATCCATTTTCCATTATGCTTTATTCCTGCTGGGGGTCATAAGGGGTGCTGGTGCCTGTCTCCGGCTGTCTATGGGCGATAGGTGGAGTTCACCCTGGACAGGTCACCAGTCCATCGCAGGGCTCTGTTTAAATCATGTTAGTTTTTAAAATAAAAAAAAATATTTTTTTTTTAAATAAGTGTTTGAATCAGGGACAAAATGTATTTTCACTTTTCATTTTTGTATTTTAATAAAATCTGTTCAGTATATAAACAGGTTCCAGACAGACTGAATTCATAGTAATGTTGGATTTAATTACTCACTGTTGGCTTTTCTTTACTTTTTACAGTGGTCACTAAATCAACAACCTCTGGACTCATATCAGACAGTAAGCTTTACTTTTGCACTACAAAATGGAAAATTAGTACCATATCAGTTAATTACAGACGTGTGGAGGGATGTGATCAGTTATATGTTATAGTTATATGATATTATATAGAAAAATACCCATCTATATAAATACACTGTGCAATAACCGTGTATAATAACCCTGCCTTATGTTGTTAAGACTACCCTGCCATATATATATATATATATATATATATATATATATATATATATATATATATATATATATATATATATATATATATATATATATATATATATATATTATAGCTGATGTAACAAGTATATTTCTCATTGAAAGATCAATAAAGTCAATCAATCAATCAAAACTTTATGATGTGGTTGGGAAAGGAGCCAACCAAGAAGCATAGATGAGGCCAAACCTGGAGTTTGACGATAATAAAGGGAACCTAAAAAGGTAATAATGGGATGAACAGATTATTTAATGAGTGTAGAATACTAGGGAACATAGGATCCAGTGGGGGAAAAGATCACAAGAGAGCTTAAATACTGGGGCAGCGTTGGTGAAAGTCAAGCAAACCACAGAGGCTAATCCAGGAAATGTCTTCAGCTGAACCAGAATGAAGGTAGAGCAGCTGAGGGAGGGGCAGCATTCGCAGAGGAAACTGACATAAGAAATAAACAAAATATAAACCAGTGATCAGAGAAAAAATAAGCTGGGATATCACAGGAGGAAAATGCAACTAAATGCAAAGCAGACTTTTATGAATAGACCCTAAATCAGGGGCCAAATGTGGCTCTTTGGCCCCTTCACTGTGGTACCAGTGGTACAAGACTTCTAAAAATAATGGAGTATTTTTTTTTTTATCTTGAACCAATAAATCTTTAATTTATCTTTTGACTAATTTTATTTTATGTTGGGTAGTTAAAAGTGACCCTTGACATAAATGGACATAAATAAAACAACCAGGAAATAATCCAAACTCAAACCCAATAAAATAAAAATCATTAGAATAGCAGCAGGGTTTTAACCCCAAGCAAATGGGACCCAAACTGGAAACAATAAACATCTAAATATTTCCTATAAATAATAATTTTAACAAATCCAAATGACTCCTGTTCCTTTAACATTTATTTGGAGGCCATCCTTACTTGGACATAGACAGAAAGCTTTGGTGCTAACATAGATGAAGCCTGCAGAGATAAACGAACACATCAGATGTTTTTTATTTCATTTCAGGACTTAAAGGCTGTTAGCCGATAGGGTTCATTTTAGCTAAATAACTGCTGCAGGTGCTGCAGTAGTACTAACTGGAAATAAATAATCTGTAAAATAGTTCTAATATAATTATTTTGATATATTTTAATATATTAATAACATCTGAAACTATAAAGAATACATTAAAATGTAATATATGAATGGTGTTAAGTATATAAAAATTACCTTTTGTGAAATGATATGATTTTCTAGACAATATGATGATACAATAAGCTGCTTGTTTTCTCAATATATTGCTTTAGCTTTGTCTAGTATTATTTGAGAAGTGAGTTCATATTTTTATGGGTTATTTTCTAACTAAATAGTTTGTCACTAGTTGTTCCTGTTGTTTTTTATATTACAGAGATTTAAAGGTGTTTGGTTTACTTGCTGACTATAAAAGCCTTTCTGAATTTCTTATTTATGCTTTATAATCCCAAATAGAAGGCAAACTTTAAGTATAAGGGGGGAAAAAAATCCTATTTATATGTTGTAATCGGGCCTCTACATTCAGGTGAAAAGTAAAAACGATTCATCAATCTTTAAAGACATCTAGCTGACAGTTTTTCATTTTCAGTTGGATAAGAAAAAAAAGCGTTATTAGCGAGGGCAGCAGCAGCAGAAATATGTGCATGTGATAAATTACTCTGCTATCAAAGTGAAGGGATGCAAAGGTTTACAGTAATAAAGCATGTTAAGACATGCGGTTTGGGAATGTCTCCAAAAAAAAATGGAGTATTACTTTATAGGATATATTAGCATTGGTAGTTGAGTGTTTTTAGAAGGAAAAGATCTTTATTGTCCTATAGAGGAGAAATTCAGCAAGTATGGAAATAAATAATAAAGGTAAACACAGGAGCATATAAAAGAAAGAATAAAAAGAGTGAAAAAAACCAATTAATAAAAAAAAAGGCATATTCAGATTAAATGAAACATTTTCAAGACAAAGTCTATAACACCTGCTTATTTACTAATACAATTATAAAAAAATGCAAATAACAGCATGCACTGCATGAAAAGTGAGATTTTCGTCCCCGTAAACCCCCGTAAACTCCCGCAGATCTGCCTGATTTTCGTCAGTTTCCGACAATTTGCAACCCGTGCTTGTCCGCGTTTGTCGTGCCACAAATTGTCGAAAACGTACCGTGACGTATGTGGAGAGCGATCAGCTGTACTAATGGCCCTAATTAGCATATAAATGCAGCAAACCCGCGCGGCTGGCCAGGTCTGGCTTGAATAACCATCTCAGTATTGGCTGAAACCACTATTCTCAAACAAGTGAAATCGCTCGTGATTGGCAGCAAAACCACACGTGGCCACGCCAGGCTTTAATTTTCTTACTGAGTATTGGACGGAACCACTTCTTTTTAAACAAGTAAAGTCGCTCGTGATTGGTTGGCATATATATATATTTACATATATATATTTATTCATATATATATATATATTTATTCATTCATATATTTATTCATTCATATGCTGTGTATTTATGTTATCCTACACTACTACACAATTATTAGGCTACCATCAAGGACATGAATGAATTTATACAGGAAATGAACATTTGCAGGAAGCTGTTTATGCAAAGAAAGAGCTTTATTGAAACACACACAACTATATACAACGCGTATCCAAACACATGCGTTTCTAAAAATTAAAAGTCCGTGAAGGGTCCGTTTGCTTCCTCGGGGTTGGAGGTAACTGGCAGCATTCCCTCCGAGGCAGGTCCGATGTGCAGACGCCTACTGTGCGTGGCCCTGTTCTTCGGCATCGCTTCTAACCGGGACTGCAGCTTAACACAGAGTTCAGTGAGATCCGGCCTACGAAATGGCGGCGACCGTACAATCCATCCAGAGACACCGCCGAGGAACGCGGACTTCCAGAGTTCCACTTCCTCATCTGTTAGCACACTCTGCCTCGCTTTCAGCAGCTGAAAAAAAAAAAACAATGAATCAGCGCACTGCGCATGGACACAACACATCTATTAATGCACCTGAAAAATAGTCACCAAATAAAGTCTTACCCTCTTTCTTCTGGTCCGACTCCGAGCAGATAGCCTCCGCACGCAGCGTGTTGGCTGGCAGCGTATATCTGAAGCTCCTGCGTACCGTCTGAAAATACGTCTTACAGGCAGCTGGAAAACAATTAAATGAGAGTGGTATAAATAAAAAATCAAACGCAAGTCACAGTAACAAGGAAGGAGAAAACATTAAAACAAGTCACTTACACACAATGTCGTCTTTATCAACATCGTGCAAATCTGGACTTGCTGATTATGGCTCCGAGCAAATAGGAGGTCACCGCCTCATTGTGAGGCGACAGTAGTCTGTGAAAACAAAATGTAAAAGCTATGATCGGTATCTATCCGTATCCATTGCCTTTTACCGCAGAATGAAAGCATATTCTTTAAATCTTACCCTTGCTCCGGTTCATAGCGCCTGCAATTAGTCTCCGAGTTGTTAAGACGGCATACTGCTTCCTGTAATCACAAAAAATACACTTTAATAAAGCTTGTTCTTGCAAGGCTAGGCTAGATAGGCTAATAGCTAGGCTGCTATTAGCCGGTAGCTTAGGCTAGGCTGCTTTTAGCTTAGCAGGCAGTAATCGAACATATATTTACCGCTAGCATCTCTTCTTTGAGTTCTTCTTGTTCGATTCAGAGTCGCCATCGCGTCCAAGAGGAGTTTTACCCCGAAATCCAGACGCTCCAGACCGCCTGCACAAAGCAAAGCAGCATCCTCCATTGTGGATCCAGACCCCGCCGCTCTAAGTTTCTTGGAGATCGTACAGAGCATGCGCGAGATGAACCAGAGTTTCCGCGGATCAATAAAAATAATTAAAAAATCATTCTTTTTTTTTTTTTTAAATCAAGGCCTTAATTGGCACTAAAATTATTTAAATATGTTTATCGAAGCATTTATAATTCTTTAATAAAAAATGCTTATAAAAACAATTTCGTCAGATATATTATATCGCTCCAGGCGGAGAAAAAGCTAGAGGATATTTATATACGTATATATGTGTGTGTGTGTGTGTTTACATACATACAGGAGTCATGGAACTCTGCTTGCAGCTCCTTCATATTTCATGTACACTAATAACTTGTGTACATGATTCTTGTTGATGGTATTAAAATCATTTCTAATAGCATTTAAATAGCATTAAATTAGAGTCACTCATTCCTGTATGAACCCTGTGAGCGCTTAATTTAATATGACATATTAAAAAAATCCCACCATCATCCAGCATATGTTCAGTTTCTGCCCAAATATATATATATATTTTTGTAGATTTTTGTAACGGGGATAAGGATAATTCAAAACTGCTTTTTTTTTAATGAACTTGTTCACTATTTCCAAACTCAGCATCTCTTTTCATTCCTGTAATAAGAAGTTTCTTTTGAATGGATTTCATTAAAGTTTAAGTCCCTCGGTATAAAATAAATATTTTGATGGAGATGAGAAATCTGCTTCCTCGTTGGTGAATAACCAATAGTTTGGATCCAATCATTTAAATAAACGGTGTTAGTTTGTTTTTTATATATATATATATATATATATATATATATATATATATATATATATATATATATATATATATATATATATATATATATATATATATATATATATATATATAAGAATTGTGCTATAATTTCTAGTCACCGATCTGTTGCTGCTATATTTTAATTTGACGAACCGGAATTTGTCGATGTTCTTTTTCCTGTTTGGTGCAATTGCAATTGCGGATCTTGACCTGGCCGGACCTTATGACCACAGTGTACCAATCTTCTGATGGCTACTTCCAACAGGATAATGCGCCATGTTATAAAGTGAATCATCTCAGAATCATTTCTTGAAACTTTTCCACTTAAGTAATTGTGAATTGAGCATATTGACAGACAACATTTTATTTTTTATCTTAAATGCAAATTTTAAAAAAAATAATTACTGCTCTAAATGTATTGCTCTGTCGGCTAAAGATCTGTTTTGGTCTCTATACTTTAATTAAATAAATCAATTCAAGCTAAAATGTGAGAGGCTATACTAAGCCTGATCTCTTTGTATCAGAGATTTTCTTCCTCAGAAAGATGTCACTTGGGGTAAAACCCCCCCTGCAACCCTGGTTTGCATTTGTATAGCTCACAGCATGTTCATTTACATGTTAAAGCCTCCCCTAGAATTCCATGGGGGGGAGGCATGGGGGGAACACTGCCTAAGAAATTCCACGTCAATTTCTGACAATTTACGGGAGTTTTCGACGAAGCCTGCAAATTGCCGTAAACTGCCGCTAACCTGAAGTTCCACGACAATCTACAGTGCCGTATATTGACGAAAATCCCACTTTTCATGCAGTGATGGAGCATGCAGAAACTGTACAATCACCTCATCACCCAAAGTCTGCTGCAGCAATTCCTCTTCAAACGGATAAGATCAGACTTTTGTTATTATCTAAGTTTTTCTTTCTCTACCTTTAGGTGATTTTTTCTCTTAGCTCTGGTGGATCAGGTGTTGCAAAAGGAGGCTCAGAAGGAGCCAGCAGCTCCCATCGCCGTGGATCCAAAGCCGCTAAGGACTCTGGGGGCTTCAGCATCACCGCTGTAGAAGCTTCCTCTGGGGGGCGGTTTTTGGCCCCGGGGGCCACAGCGTCCTCAAGTAAAGGAGAGGGGTCCAAAGAGGCCAGAGGAGGAGGATCCTCCAGCATGTCCTACAGTTTTGGAAGCGGAGGCAGAGAAGGAAAAAAAGAAGGTGGTCTCGGTGCTGTGAGCTACTCCTTAGGAGGGACCAAGGAGGGGAGGAAGGGGTCATCATCCTCCGCCATGGCCTACTCACCTGCTCCGAAGGAGAGGAGGAGCGTAACAACCATGGCAGCTGCTCTGGCAGACGTCTTTGACGGTGAGTCGGCATCCAGCTGTTTGCAGTTTCAGGTTCAAGTTCTCATATTTATATTGTTAGACATCTTTTATTGTCATTTTGTATACACTCTATGTATATACTCTGTGTATACAAAATTTCATTTAGTGCAGCTTTCAGACATGAAATGAACATTTCCATTCCATAAAGTGCAGCAGTGATCAATTATTGTGTTTCAGAAAGCTCGGATTCTTCTTTGGAGTACAGCAGGAAAGATTACGGTAAGTTAAAAACAAATTTCCATATAAATTCTGGGATTGTTATGAAGTATAATGGATTGAAGTCATGTATTTGTTTTTTATTACGGTGATTGTTTTGCAATTTTGCAGGGAGTTCAAATGCAATGCCGACTGCAACCTCTAGAGGGAGAACTCAAAGCAGAGGTGAACTAATGACATTTCAGCTCAGGCTTTATTGCTGCATAGTCTGAAGTAATTATAATAATCTGCCTTAGATCATAGATAAAGAATAAGTTTTTGTTTTTAGAGAGTGAGATCAGAGCCAGGCTTCAAAGCGCTTCACCGCCAGCAAGATGTGAGTAAATGATGTGATTCCAACATCTTGACCTGGAAGCCTCCAAGCTGATGCTCTTCATTTTAAGCTGTAGTGATGAGACATTAAAAACATAATCATAAAGAAGGGGATGGTGTGTTTTCCTGGCAGGGACGGAGCTGGATGACGTGAAGCGCTTACTGAGGGGGAACTGCTCCACCAGCACCAGTCCCACTCAGTCCCCCAACAACACGCTCCCCATTCCCAAGAAGGCCAGCGTGGAAACTAAGGCCACACCTGAGAGCTCCTCAGGTTCAGTCATTCAGCTCAAGATGAATATTCCTCCCTGCTAATCAGAAAAATAAAATCACATTGTATTTGTGTTGTATTTTAGAGCCGTACAGCAGCGTTTGGTCAGGAGACATGAGCAGTGGATACAGCTTTAACACAAACCCCAACAACTTATCCACCACCTCCCATCTTTACCAGGCAGGTCAGTCACCATTTAAACAAAGAAATATCTTCATTTGATTGGTATAAAAGAAACAAAAGAGAGATAAAAACACTCACCTACCCCAGATAGATGAACCTTCTTACTTTGGCGATGCTACAAGGTTGGTTTTATTCCCATTTTATGCAATGAAATGGGTGTTACTGGTTTCCATAGTCGGGGTCCTTGATCAACCAGTATGGATCATTTATAGAACTTAAACCAGACAAAAAACTTTTATGTTAAATTGTATAAAATCACCACTTAAAATGTACATAGCCAAATACTATAGGTATTAAAGCTGTGTAAATGTTTGTCAACTAATATTACAATAATTTGGGTCATGAGTCGACTATGGTACAATTTTTAGGACAACAATCAGAAAAGTTCAAAGCAAAACAAACAAACAAGCTTTACTGATTGTTTTCAGAACCTTTGGGAATCTTTGCTAGAACTTCTAGATTACTTCCAGGAATCAGTGACTAATCTATAAATGTATTTAATGAATGTAATCTGTGTACCTTCTTGTTAACAGTTACTTTTCCAAACTGAAAAAGCAGCTGCAGGAAACATTTTAACATTTGGTTCATTCTTTGAATGTGCATCGGGCTTATGGTTGTTTTTCTTAGTAATCGTGAGGTTGTTGCATTTTCAACATGGGAGATACTTTAGAAAGTTTTTTCTGGTGACAAAAATTAAACAAATGGTTCTGTTGTGTTCTGTCAGGTTCAGGAGTCCAGAACAACCTGACCCTCAGCGCTCCCTCTATGAACGCCGGACAGTCTGTCAGCAGCTCCGGTCAGCCTCGGCCTCCAGTTTTAAAGCCCACATAGATTTTCCATCTGGGTTTTTCACATTTTCACTGTTTGCTGTTTCTCTCCATCCTATTGCCAGTGTATGGCGTGCAGAACAACCTGACTGGTCCAGCAGTTCTTTCACCCACTGGGTGCAGCTCACAGATAGGTAAACCAAAGACCCCAAGAACCTGAGCATTTTTTTTTACTTCTCATGCTATCAGAATAAAACCTGATGCTCAGATGTACTGTTATGTAAGATGTATTTTAATGTTTTTGCAGTTTATGGAGTGCAGAAAAATGCCCCTGGATTAAGTTCCCCTACAGGTGAGCAGGCAGACAACTTTCTCATCTTTTTTTTTTTTTTTTTTTTTACCAAGCTGAACTTAGATGAAGCAATGTTTAGCAAAAAAAAAAGTTTTTTTTAAGGTTTGTTCCCTTGTTCCCTTATATCACTTATTCAAAGAAACATACCAATATATGATGCATCATCATCATCATTTGCTTATTTATCAAGTGCTTTAAAAACCAAGCTGCTCTACAGATATATTGAAACTAAAAGGAATATAAATAATGATAAAATGCAAAACCAGAAGTACTTGCCATCTGTACATGTTTTAAATGCTAATCTTCTTTTCTTCTTTTAATGTGATGCATACATTTTTCTAAAAGTCTTTAATTATGAAGTAATTTTCCTGTAAAGTACTTTATTAAAGGTGGAACAACTTGCCTTATGTTTCGTAGTGAGACCCAGCAGTCCGACAAGTTACGAGGCTTCAGGGAAAGACTTCAACTTTGTGCTGATAGAGAAGGAGAATGCTCCCGTTAAAAAGGAGAGCGAGCGGCGGGTCATGGCTAAAGACACTGGGAAGCAGTTTGTGTCCACTGCTCCTGCTACATTCTCAGGTTTCACCCCAACTATATCTTTGAAATTAAAACAGAACATAGGGAAATTTCTTCCTTTAATTGCATTTATTTGCATATTTGTAGTTTTAAAATCTGATGACAAACATGATGATAAAGACGTTGGTCTTGCAGGCACTTCCTCTGAGGACTCCCTAAAGAGGGAAAAGCAGCAGTTTTTATCCAGCGCAGTGGAGGAAGGAACTGACGGCAAATGTAAACTGATCATAACAATTTTATTGTTGCCAACTTTGACTGTTTTGTGAGACAGTGATATTCATTTTAAACTTCATTACCATAGGTTCAACCACCAAATCGAGCACAAAAGACAAAGCAACCTATGCAGGTACCATTTATGGAGTTTTACATGCACATTATGCTCCTTGTTTTGCATAAAGAAATTAAACGCAGCTTCCTGTTTGTTTGTCAGAGATTCGTAAAGATGAGTCGGGTTTTGGCTTCTGCTCCTGCTGCAGCTGGTGGAAGTGGCTGCTGGCCCTGGCACTCAGTCTGCTGCTCCTCCTAGGGCTCCTCTTCGGACTCATCGCTTT